CAGTCCCCGCGACACCCGCCGTTAACCGCCATCCACCCCGGCCAGCAGCCCCCGACCCCCGACGTAGTGCCGCCGCCGAGCCCCCACCACTCCCCCTACTCTCCTCAGAGGAGCAGCCCCGGAGGTGAAGGAGGACACGGCCCAGATGGAGGCGGAGCTCTCCTCCAGCTGCTGGCGGGAGGCGCCAGCCCCCTGCCCTCCCCCCGCTGCTCCAGCCCATGTCAGAGGTTTAACTCGGACCCGGACTCCGCCCCGTCGCCGCCGTGCAGCCAGCAGTACATCCTGTGAGTGCTGCTCTGAGGGGGGGGGGCGCTCGCTGCCCGTGTGGACCTGATGATTGCTCTGATGTTCATCTGGACTTCCTGCTTTGTTTTCCTTTAAATGACGTCTGTGTTCGTTTATGTCTGCTCCCACGCGTGCTGCACAGCCTGGATCTAGACCCTGGTGGTCCTGGACCTGGACCCTGGTGGTCCTGGCTCCAGGACCAACTGGACTCTTTGCTCTGGTTTCCAGTTTCAGGCTGCTTGAAGCTCTTTTGTGCTCGATGTCCTGTGATTGGTGGGGAGGCTGCAGTGGAGTGGTTTGTGTTTGACCTGCATTAGTGCGGCTTACATAATCCGTCCTTCATCATCATCGTCTTCGGTTTGTGAGCCGCTGCCTGAAGCTGTGACCCAGTTTTTTCGCTCTTCTTCCGTCTTTGTTGTTTCACCGACAGCTACTTCCTGTCTGTGTCTGTGACACGTTGGCGTTGGATAACGTGACGGTTCCCGCGTTCAGGCTCAAAGCCGTGTGTGTCCTGCTAATCTTAAACATGTTAAATCTCTGATAAATATATGTGGATATATCCCTGTGGGCTGGTGGCGTGCTCGCACCCGATGATGCCGCCTGCTGAATCTGAGCGCTCTGTTTGTGTTCAGGTGTCGGGGCGACAGGACGCAGGACTCGGAGGGCGAGCGTCCCTCGTCCGTGCCCTTCCTCACGAGACACATCCAGACCCTGAAGAAGAAGGTCCGCAGGTTCGAGGACCAGTTTGAGCAGGACATGAACTACAAGGTAGATCCAGGAGGGGGCGCTGTCAGACTCGCGGCACAGCGCTCGATGCTCTTTGCTGCATCGTTTGATTTCTGTCGTTGAGCTTCAAACTGTCCGATGTCGTCTTCTGTTTCAGCCGTCCCACAACGACAAGTACTCGAACCCGGAGATGATCCGAGTGATGGGCGAACTGGCCAAGGCTCGCAAGCAGCTCAAAGGTGACGGTCGCAGGCTCAGTGTCTGTTGTGGGCGCACGCTGCAGCCACGTGTGTGGCTGGAGGCTCAGTGAACGTGCTCAGCAGCTGAGCTGCGATCAGGCTTCTGTGACCTCTGTGTTTCTGCTTTCAGTTCACTGACTGCTGAACTGTGTGATTGTGTTTCCTCTGCAGAGCTGAGACTCAGGCAGTCGGTGTTCGAGTCGAAGGAGCAGGGAAGCGCAGACGTCTGCAGGTAACCCGACTTCACCAACCCTGTGCTCAGTTTCAGCTGTTCGAGTAGTTTGTGCGCAGAGTTACTGCAGCAGAGCTGGAAGGTTTAACATGCTGCCTCTGCTGGATGCCAGAGGAACTGCAGGCTTTGGTGCTTCAGTGACGGCTGCCTGTATCCTGCAGGTACGGCGCGGGGCAGCAGGGGGCGTCGGAGCACAAACCGGCTCTGGAGGAAACGGTGGAGTCCCTGTTCAGGCGGCTGAGAGAGAAGAGGCAGGCGCTGGGTCTCCCTGACAACATGAAGGTCGGTGCTCGGCTGTGCGTGACCGAACGCTTCGATTCATCAAAGGAATCAGTTTTCATTTTGTTTCACTTTGAATGCTCGTGATCACGCACAGACTTGACTCTGTGAGAGGTTAACCAATCCCATACGCAGCATCCGCATCGGTCCCATCCTGGCCTAAAGGATCGGATATCGGGGAGAAATAAAAATGTAACCTGATCCATTAAATATCACAAACAGGAACTCCGCCTCCATTACAGACAATAGAGATC